GCTTTTCCTTAATTAGAAAACAAAAAATATAAAGAAAGAGAGAGATAGAGAATGAAAGGAATGCAAAGGGAATGCAAAGGGAATGTAAAGGGAATGGTAAAAAAAAAAATGTGTATGTAACAACGATAATGTTGGGGGGTGGTGGGTGAGTATTGATGGTTTATGAACGTATATGCTTATTGGGATTTCTAGCACTTGAATACGCTATCTGGTGGCTAAATTCAAAATTAGAGTAGATAAATCGAATTGCTACGCCACATGGGAGATCTCTAGTAGAGACCCTATAGGAGGGACGCGCGCCATGTACATTGCTGGGGGACAGGAACTCGTGTAGTCACGTGATTGCGCGCGACGGATTCAAACGATAAGTTATAGGTTAGGTTTGTACATTTATAATTGTAATTATTAAATGAGTAAATTAAACTTACACTTATAGAATACTACTTAAAAAAAGAAAAAACAATTAAATATAAATATCACAATAAAAACTATAAGTATTCCAAACTTAAACTAACCACAGCCGTTAATACATACTAAAAATAAACATGGCTGCGCGATGCAACGGAAGCTGTCCCCCCACATTTTCAGCCTAGCAATGTACATGGCGCGTTCCTCCTATAGGGTCCCTAATCTCTAGCACCTTGAAATACGCTATCTGGTGGCTACATTCAAAATTAGAGTAGATAGGTTCGAATTGCTACACCACGCTCCTGCCAGAGATCCCAATGTGAGAAGAAGAAATTAAAAAAGTACAAAAACAAAGCGAAAGAAAAGGAGAGAAAGAAATACAAAACGAAGGGAATGTCAAAGGAATGATAAAATAAAAATGTTGGTGGGTGTATAGTGATGGTGGTGGTTGATGGATGTGTAAATTGACTGTGTGAAGGTTTAAAAAAAAAAAAAGAATCCAACAAAGAATAGTGGTCTAGTAAAAAAGAGGAAGGGAAGACAGAAATTAGGGTCATCTAACGGGATAAAAAGAGAAAGAGAAAGAGAATGAGAAGAAGAAGTTTGAGTAGGAGAAAAGAGTGGTGTGGGGGGGAGAGGGCGCAGCAAGAGTACATGAAATTTGAAATCAGATCGGTCGATGCACCTTGTGCGAATGCATTTTTGAACGTATAAAAAAAAAAAAAAAGAAGAAGAAGAAGTAGAATAAGAAAATGAAAAATGAGAAAGGGTTGGTGGTGGTTGGGTGAATGGGAAAAAAAAAGAAAAAGAAAAAAAAATAGGATTAAAGAAGGGCTAGCAATAAAAAAGTTTTTTTGAACGACGAGGAGTGTGTGGGATGGGATGGATGCAGTGGATGTAGTAGAATGGGGGGAGTGAGGGTTAGGGAGGGAGGAAGGGAGGGAAAAGAGTTTCGTTCGAGGATTTGCGCTTTTTAGTCGGTTGGAAAACTCTTGGAAGTGGTGGTGGGATCCCGGAAGCATCCCGGAGGCGTTAAAGCGTACGACAATCCAGGAGGCTTACCTCGACAATTTCTTTCTCACTCTTTGTGTAATCGGCCGATACTTGGCTGCGCTTTCATGCGGCCTATGATCCGCACCAAAGAGAGTGAGAGAGTTAGAAGAGGAGAGGAATGAGGGAGAGGGAGGGATGAGGGAGAGTGTAGGAGTATGTCGTCATCCCCCTTTTCTGTACTCTCGGCCCCTATTTAATCGATAATACGGTCGGCGTCTAGCACGAAACTCAAAAAGAAGAAGAATCATCTCTTTCGTGATTGGTGGCTTTTATTTTTCTTTTTCTTTTTTTTTTTTTTTTTTTTTTTTTGTTCTTTTTTTATTTATTACATTGCAAATTTTATAATGACTAATTTGGTTTTGTTTTTTTTCTATACTTTAAAGATATTATTTATACTCTTTATAATTTATTATTAACTTTATTATTTATTATATAAATTATAAATTATAATCTTAATGTATGTAAATTACGTGTCACGTTGTTTGTCCGCAATGGACTCCTAAACTACTGAACCGATTTTAATCAAATTTTGCACACTACGTGCAGTTTCATCCAACTTGAAAGATAGGATAGTTTATATCTCAATTTATAGTCGCAATATTATTTTATTGCAAATTATTTGTTTATTAACAAAGAGTCATGATTATCTCAATTAGTTCGATAAGATTCCACTAACAGATGGCGGTATAAGGTAATTCGTTGTAGGGACCCTGTAGGAGGGACGCGCCAAAGAATTTTGGGGGACAGGAACTTATGTAATCACGTGATTGCGCGCGAATGAATCAAACATTTTAAATAGTATAAAAGTTGTATATAGTAATAGTGAATAGTTGTAGGGGATAGAGTGGTGAATTGCATCAAATACAGAGAAAAAAATGAACCATATTTAATGATAATTAAAAAATTTATAATTAAAATAGAATAGGTTACACAATAAAAATTATTATAAATTCAAAAAGAAAGATTCAATTAAGTTTGATTTGATAAAAGGCATTACAGTATTTTGAAATTTCAAAACAACTTGTAAGAATTAATACAATTTTGATAAATACAATTATCTACTATATATATATTACATTTACAATTATTTTAATCATTCATACAATTTGTTTTTCATTTCCAATACTAATAAATCAGCTAGGATTCCTGGGTATTATATCTTCATAACTAACAACAGCCGTTATTTATACATACTAAAGAAAAAAACATGGCTGCTCGTTGCATCGGAAGCTGTCCCCCAAAATTTTCAGCCAATAGCAACCCCAGCAGTATGTATGACGCGTCTCTCCTACAGGGTCTCTAATTTGTTGACTTAAAAACTTGTGTATCGGACTGATTGTGAGCCACAGCAACGCGTGGCGGGGCACCCCTAGTTTATATATATATATATATTTTATAAATTTTATTACATAAAATATAAAATATTTATATATAATTGTAATTTTATAATATTATAATTAAAATCTTATAATTTTATAATTTTATAATTTATAACATATTACAAATAATAAATAATATAATAATAGTTAAGAGCATGATTGCACACACAGCATGCAAGTGAATTTCGAATGGGTTACATAGAGAAAGATATATATATATACATACATATATACATGTATAATTACATTCAATATACATATACATATATATATTGAGTAACTAATTAATTGATCAACCTATTTAATTTCAGTATTACAAAATATATTACAAAATAGATGAAAATAATCGAATTTCTGTACAGTTAACTGTTATTTTCTTTTGTTTATTCTTTTTTTTATTTTTTTTTTATTTTTAATAATCCGTCAAGAGAGAGAGAGAGAGAGAAAGAGAGATCCTTTTACCTACCTGAGAAAGAAAAAAAAGAAATAATGAAAGAAAATAGGCACGTTTACAAAGGTACGCGTGAACGGTGGTAAAGTTGATGGTAGTGGTAGTAATAGTAGTGGTGGTAGTTGGTGATTATGGTCATGGTTGTATAGCGCGCGTGCCCATTCGTGCGAATCGCGTGCGCATCCATGGTAGGAGCGAGGTCATACCAGAGTGCGAAGCTAATTTACTGGAAGCACCGACAACGTTAACCACGTCTTTCTCTCTCTCTCTCACTCTCTCTCTCTCTCTTTCTCTTTCTCTTTCTTTCTCTCTCTCGTAGGAGTTTGAGTTACCCCGTTTACCTGGTAAAAAGCGTTCAACCAATTTCATTCCGCTATAACGGAGATGGTCAACGATAATATTTCTCTCTCTCTCTCTCTCTTGAGTTACCCCGTTTACCTGGTAAAAAGCGTTCAACCAATTTCATTCCGCTATAACGGAGATGGTCAACGATAATATTTCTCTCTCTCTCTCTCTCTCTCTCTTACTCTCTTACTCTCTTCCTGTTGGTTAGAAAAAATAAGAATAATAATAATAATAATAAAAATAAAGAAAATACATATATCACGCGACAACGCAAGTAATTTATTAAAAACCATGTATATGTATGTATTGGAATATTATTTTATTTTTATTTTATTTTATTATTTAATGGAAGAATGAGAAATATTTTTTATTAATAAAGTAAATTTTTTATTTAATAAATTTATTAATAAAAAAAGTTTAATAATAAATATTAAAAATAAAAAAACAAAGATTTTATTAATAAAGTAAAGCAAAGAATATTATTTTTATTTTTGTATACAACAATAATACAATGTTATAATTAGTAATGATTATTATTATTCAATATTTAATAGAAGAATGAAATATTTTTTAATAATAAAGTAAAGTAAAGAATATTATTTTAATTTTGTATAAACGTGACATTAACAATAATAAAATGTTATAATTATTAATTATTATTATTTATTATTTAATAGAAGAATGAAATATTTTGTATAACAAAGTAAAGTAAAGAATATTATTTTAATTTTGTATAAACGTAACATTAACAATAATACAATGTTATAATTATTAATGATTATTATTATTTAATATTTAATAGAAGAATGAAATATTTTTTAATAATAAAGTAAAGTAAAGAATATTATTTTAATTTTGTATAAACGTAACATTAACAATAATACAGTTTTATAATTATTAATTATTATTATTTATTATTTAATAGAAGAATGAAATATTTTTTAATAATAAAGTAAAGTAAAGTAAAGAATATTATTTTAATTTTGTATAAACGTAACATTAACAATAATGCAATTTTATAATTATTAATTATTATTATTTATTATTTAATAGAAGAATGAAATATTTTTTAATAATAAAGTAAAGTAAAGAATATTATTTTATTTTTTTTCTATACAACAAGGTTATAATTATTAATTATTGTAATAATTATTTATTATTTAATGAAAGAATGAAATGTATTTTTTTTTTTTTTTTTCTTATTAATGAAGTGTATCAAGAATATTATTTTATTCTTTTATACACCCTTTTAGAATTATTAATTAACGATTGAATGATTGTTAAATAAATTGTTAAAAAATAAATTAATAATAATATATGTAATTATGATAAATAAATTGATGATATTGTTATTATTGTTTCAGATCCTAGGGTAAATGATTGGATTATGATGAGCAGCCCTTTTCCCACAATGGCCATATGTCTGTCTTACGCATACTTTAGTAAAGTAATAGGACCAAAATTGATGGAAAATAGAAAACCATTCGATCTTCGACGTATACTTATTGTTTACAATCTCGTACAGACCCTCTTTTCTACGTGGATCTTCTATGAGGTTTGTACATTTAATTATTATATATATATATATTGTATACATATAACAATAACTGAATATATAAACATAGGGGGTGGTATGATTCAAAAAACATAATTCTAAAAAAAAATATTAAAAGATTAATCATCACATTATTTTTTATTTTATTTTATTTTATTTTTTATTTTTATTTTTTTTGGAATAGTAAACAAAGTATGATTATGTACATCATTTGTATTTTAATTATTTGATCATTAGGAACTAAATGATTTTTTTTCTATTAAAATAATTTTAATAAAATAAAAAATAACAGATGAAAAGAAATATTATTATTAAATTAAAATAAAAAAATTATTAAAATAAATATAAAATAAAATAAAATATTATAATAAATTAAAATTAATATAAAATATATAATTTATAATATATAAGTTATAT